ACTACTACTACTACTACTACTACTACTACTACAACTACAATTACTACTACTACTACAACTACAACTACAACTACAAACTACTGCAATAGAACCGATGATCAGCGCTGCTACTGCTTACTCATTCAAATATTCTACAGCTTAAATAGGGAGTCAGTCAAAGATTTCCGAATGATCCTACAACAAGTACTAAATGGAGAATTTTTCTTCTCCGTGACAAAGCTATAAGATCTTCAGAAACTTTTAAGTTGGACTGGAAATGAGGTGGTGAGATAATTTTGTGTCCTATGAATGGAGGTGCAAAATCGGCTTGTATATGTATATACCAGTCTGTAATTATTTAATATAATGTGTCCGTGATATGCTTTACATTACTATTTTCTTCAGATATAAGCATCAAATGACTATATTATGGCAACAGGGATTTTCATATTAATCAAATTAATTTCAAGTTTAGTGTAAATTAAAAATCTTATTGTGAGGAAGGTTTTTTGCACATTTTGAAATTTTTAAAATAAAAAAATAAAACGTAAAACAAAAAGGAATAGTTTGCAATGGGAATACTTCACCAGTAAACAATGACAGATATTTGAATGAGTTATTTGATAAGTTTAATAATGCTTTTATTTTTATTCCAGTCATATTAACAGCTAATAGATTATTATGTAATCGGTTAGATTGCATATGATGCCTTTTGTTGAAACTGAAGAGAATAAGGGATAATCCGAAATATGAATAGAATAAGTATAATTTTATCATTTTATTATAAGAAGCTTGTTTACTTTATCTTTTCCCTTTCCTCATATTTTGTACCAAATCTTAAAATGACAATATTAACAATAGCAACAACGATAAATAGCATAATTTTCCGCATATTATAAGTAAAAATAAAAAGAAACATCGTTTCCTTCATAATGTAATTTAAAGAATTTCCGCGGTTTAATTTAAGGAATTTCCATGCAAAAATTCTTTCTTCTTTATTTTATTATTCATTATTCATTTGGTCAAGTTTTATCTCTTTTAAAATATTAAAACTGTTTCCGCATGTTCCTTTATTACATTTCACATTCGAATATATTCCTTCCCAACTGTACATTTTATCTCTTTTTTCTTTTATTCTCTCCCTTCTCCTAAATATGCGAATTAATTTCTTGAGAATGTGAAATATTTTTTTAGCTTTTTATATATCTTTTTTCCATATACTTAAATATCCAAATTATATGAAATGTAAAGGAGTGTCAGTGGTACGTTAAGTTGCTAATAATATGATAGCGATAAATTAGCAATGATAAGATGCTTTCTTCTGTATAGATGATCTCCGCTATCACTAGTCTTCCGTATATATATATATATATATATATATATTGAATGCCCTCGGGGATCTTGTCTTCGTGCCTTATCTCTTTTACCATTGAAGTAGAATATGCCCGTGATGATTCTTCCTTTTGTTTGTTGAAGAACGAGTAAATGATGATAAAGGTGATAGTGATGATAATGGAATGGGAATGTTCACGAGAATGAATGTTAATACGAGAATTTGAAGTTATGATATAGATGAAGGATGGATGATGATGATGATTGTACGCAAGTAGGTATAAAAGTTGCTAACCAAAGCTTTGAGGAATTGGGTAAGGGAAAGAGGGGGGAAGAAAAGGAAGAAGAGGGAATGAAAAGAAGACAAGATTTTGTGAAAATCTGGTTTTGGCGATTTAAAATGAGACCAACGAAGGCATGGCAATACCGACATTACGGATTGTGTCCCCATTTTGAAGTTTGAAGACGGAAGGCTATTGACAGTTATTTTATTTGGGCGCACATTCAGCCATAAAAGATCGATGGAACGGAAAGTTTATAATGATATGTTCATGATAGTATACTTGAGGGGAAAGAGAAAAAAAAAGAATTATGCCCAGTACTTGGTATCACTGATTTTTTTTTTTGGGTCATAATTGTGCGAGCCTAATCTTTCGAGAAGCGTCGTTAAAATATTTTCTCGTTTACTGCGTTATATATGTACATATATCATCCATTGTACACGACAAAGTATTTACTTGAAATTTATTAAAAGATATTTGGGAGTAATATTCAAAAATATCACGATATTGTGTACGATAAACAGATATTGAAAATAAGGTCTTAGTAAAGAATTAATATTTTATTTGAAGACAGTGCGTAGTTTTAAAAAAAGAAATTTAAAAACTAAAGAAATTTCGTCTAAAATTTTTTTTTTGTTGAACGGATACTTGAGATTTGAGCAAAAATATATTTAAGTGACTTTTCGAAAAGTTTCAACCGGCACTTCAATAAATTCTCCCTTCCTTTTTCTTTTTTGCCATAAGGCATATGCTTATGTTTTGGGGCACGGAATTTTGTCCATTGCCAGCTCAAACATCACTCGCATCGAACTTTTTCATCTTTAAACGGCAACCGGTATTTTCGGGTATAACACCCCGGGACTCCCTTTTGCTATCCAACTACCACCTTCCTCCCCCGCCTTCTTCCCCTTTTCTACCCAATTCTTCTTGCCAAACACAGCCATCATCATCATCATCATCAACAACACCTATATACCCTAATACAACATCTCATTCAATCAACAAATTCTATCATCAACAAAATATATGTTCTGAAATGATAACTTGTTGGTTTGTGAGCCAGCCATCCAATCCAAAAATTCCTCGCTGTACTCTTCTTGCGGTGGGGAATGGATGATGATCGGTTTAGGGAATAAGTGAAGTGATATGTACACCTTTTAAGCTCATCTGAACATTCCTTTTCTCCTTTTACATCTACTATCCCTCCATGATGCTCTCTCTCTTTCTCTCTCTCTCCTTTGTCATCCCCGCCATCCCCATTTTTACATCCTTTACCTCTTGTGTCATCACCATTTTTCCTTTCTGGCAATTTTGAGCAACAATTAAGGACAAGTGTGTGTATATATATATATATGTGTGTGTGTGGGTGGGGTGGGTGGGTATGTGTGATATGCGTTTACCATATCCCCTTGTTGCTGTTTTTAGTCAGCCAACTAATTATCGTTAGGCTAGCCGACCTGTATCACTCTGGCCATATTTGTAGCTATGATCTTTTTATCGCCAACCAGGTCATTGTCATCGTAGTCATACCTGAGATATTAAAAGGATGTGAATTGAGATAATATATTAAAAGGATGTGATTTCTTGCTTAAGTTGAGTAACTAACTTAGCACAATCAACTTAACTCATTCATCTTATATTGAAATTTTTTACAATACGTTAAAGTTACTATCATTTTCATAATCCGTACATGACTCATTTATTCCAAACTTCACTGGAAAAAATTATAAAAGTAGGCTTCACTTAATTGATTTTTTATTTATTCACTTTTTTATCTTTCTTTGAAAATGCTATGTGTTTCACCAGTTATCCGGAAAGATTTGGAAGAATTCTTCAACTGTTTTTCACTTCATAATAAAAAGAAATACCTCTAACAACGATTCAGCAGAACATATAAAATAAACTGATTTTACATATTTGCAGTTGGAATTCTAATAATGAAGATTTTTACCCTCCAGCAAGCAGTTTTCTTTTTTTTTTTGAATTTATTTTTTGCCTGATCTGTGCAATTTTTTCAGTTGCTTCTTTTTATTTATTGTCTTCACTTTTTTTTTCGCCATCTATTTTGAATGTCAAATAATTTGAACGTATAATGTTCAAGATATTACTTATGGTAGTAGGAAAGTTTTTAATAACTGTTCCGAAGCTTAAATGAATCCATATCCGATTTCTCTTGTAGAAAAAATTAGAATTATGGTTTTTTTGTATGTGTGTAATTTACTTCACCATTTCGCTCAAATTTATGGTTTCAAAAAGTTGTGGCTTTTCGATTCGATTTCGAATTATTTAAAAATTGTTAAGCTGTTATATTTTAGGAGATAGCAACCACGGCGGACCAAAGGCCTGCTTCGATGGTTTTCTCAGCTTCTGAACTTCCCAAGTTCACTACACATCCGGCAACATTCATCCCAACAGTATTTGGTGGACATGTGCTAGTCTACGAAAGTCGTTCACATCCTGGACATCGGCGTGAATTTGCTTTCAAAACTCGATTCACCAATCAATCGGGTGTTAGCTCATGCTATTATCGATGTATGTCATGTCGTAGTATGAAGAATAAGGTACCACCGGGACCAGATGGAAAACCACCGCAAATTCCGTGTATTGCTGTGAAAAATGGTTTTATCGTGAATGATCCCGATTTTCCGGAAGCAAATGATCATTTCTGTGTTCCACCGACGATTGAGGAATCTCGGCAACGTGAAGCGAACGGTTTTGCGAAAGCAATCGTTAAGGGACGTCCACGACAAAAGGCAACAAGAAAGAATAATAATAATGGCAATACCGGTGGTATTGGTAATGGTAGCAATCCTAAAAAAGATTCAGTAATGGCACAGTTGCAAGCTTATCAGGAAATGAGTAATGCGCTCCTGAATGGTTCCGCGGGAAATATTTTCGACATCTCCAATATTGCTGGTGGTTTCGATCTTGGCACCGACTTTTCGGCATCTTCTGCTTCGCAGTTATTAAATTTGGTTACCGGTGGAGTAAAATGCGAGCTGGACGCGGCGGGTGATAGCAATGACTTCCTGAAAAATATCAAAATTGAAGATGATGATAGTGATGGTACTGCAAAAGCGACTCATTTGCTTGCATCGCTAATTAGCTCGGAGCCAGCTTTGCGGACACAAATGATGCTACCAACAACAGCTCATCGGACAAATGTGCTACCATTATCGGTAGCAACATCAGCTGTAGCTACCAGTAGTGGTGGTACCGAAGATGAACAACTGAACGGTATGAATGGACCGGATACTCGTAGCAGTCCAGAAAGTAGTACAGCTATGATTATGAATTCATTTCAAGGTTCAGATTCTCGACCACCTTCTGTGAGTTCTTCATCTGCCTCCGCATCTCTTTCTGGTATCACGGTTCCAACAGTATTAGCCAACGGTTTATCGACAAATAGTCGAAAACGAAAAGGCAATAATGGAAATTCACTGGAGACTCATTTTGATGAAATTTTCGAACGATATATACTCAACAATTGGGAAATTGTCGATAACGGTTTGTTAAATTCCATGTCATTCCATACATTTATTTGATTGTTACGATGAATTTTAACAGCTAACCGTAAATGTTAGATTTTACCACAAAAAACTTGTCATACTAAAAATTCTATAAAATTCAGGCAGCAAAAGCACGAATATGAAGTACTATAAGAAATATTAGATAATAAATATATCGAGAACATGAATATTAATATATGCATGATATTAATAATAATATATTGATGTATTAAAAACATGAAATAAGAATTGCATGAAGATTTATTTTCTACATTTAATATCTGCAAGGTAAGCATTCACATCATTGTTTGCAGGTAAGAAACCTGAAAATATTGCCGAACATGCTTGTGCATTAATCCTTTCATTGGCTCGAAAGATTCCGCAGGCAGTAACATCGATGAAAGAAGGAAAATGGACAAGGACAGAACCATACGCCGAAGAGGTATTGCACATTTTTCAATCCTTATTTAAATATGAGATTTTCGTTATTAATTGGAAATTCATTTCTAATATCATTTTGAAATAACTTTTAGGAATTTGTTTGGTGATTTCACATTAATTTTCAAGTTGGAACTTTGACTTTATTATTTATGAATTTTATTTTGAGTTCTATATTTCGATATTTTGAGGGAGTTTTAGCTTAAATGAGTATTAAAAGAAAAGAAATGTTTTTGAACAGTATATTTTCTGTGGAAATTTCACTCTATAAGTCTCAGTTCAATGTATTAATTACTATGCAAATTTGAAAATAAATGCATTCATTCTGAGTTTCTCTTTTCTGTTCCAGATTTTTGGAAAATCATTAGCGATTATTGGTTTAGGACGCATTGGCTTAGAAATAGCAATACGCATGCAAGTTTTCGGTATGCGAACATTTGGATATGATCCAAATGTTGGTCAGGAGGTTGGTTTATTTAGATTGTTAAATTTTTATAATTTTTCCAGACTTCAAGAATATTTCGTCTCTGCTACTCTATGTAACAGAGGTTTTATCCAGAATTATTTCATTATTAAATTTTTGATAGAAATGGGGAGCATTAATATATAAAACGTTTGGACGCGAGTAATTCAAGTGTTTAAAATTTTATATTTAATTAGATTGAAGATCAGCTATGATAAGATTTTAGAATCCCATTATCCATGAATGAAAGAATCGAATTATGTAGGATCATATCTTTGGATGTGATGAAATATTTATAGGAAGCGGCTCGGCATGGTATTAGATGGCTTCCCTTAGATCAACTGTGGCCCCAAGCCGATTATATCGTTATTCATGTACCACTGATACCACGTACCAAAAATTTATTATGCACTTCAACATTGACTCGCTGTCGAAAAGGTGTGAAAATAATTAGTGTGGCCAAAGCTGGGATCATCAACGAAATTGATATGTTACAAGCCTTAAACAAGGGACGTGTCGGTGGTGCAGCATTTGATGTTTATGTAGAGGTTGGTATTCCACCCATAATTATTTTGCAAAATTAAATTTGTGTTTGCCCATAGTACTTTGACGTCAATAAGACACCATTGTATCATGCAATTTCAGGATGCTCCGCTTGTTCGTGGATTGATTGAACATCCAAATGTTATTTGCACACCACATATGGGTACTAGTCCTTTGCAAGGACATCAACGAATTGCGAATGAAATTGCTGAAAATATCATTTCACTAAATAGTTCAACTGGTCCATACGGAGCGGCAAGTTTCAATCTTTTATCAGTATCGATTATTGCGTAAGAAGTTAGATAATGGATACGAAAAAAAATTAATCTTCTTTTCAGTTTTGGATAGAATGTGATCAGTGAATCGGAATGCAAGAAATTTTTCTCCTTTTCTTAATAATATTCATAGTAACGAGAGGAACGTCCAACATTTCATAAGAAAAAAAAAAGATCTTAATTAAGTAGATTTTGCTATCGAATTTGTGAACTTTATTAATTGAGAAATTTACTGTTTCACAAAATATTCGCCTTTATTTTGCTACTCAACTATTAGTACGTTAGTCGTATGTTTTTGGTTGTCTTTTTTTGTCAAAGTCTCAGTTGTAGATGAACGCAGCAGCTGCTACAGCAGCATTGGATGAAGCCAAAAGTCAGTGGATCCGTGCAGTAGCAACACTAACTCAAACATTGGCCGTAATCGGGAATTCACCAAAAGCCGTTACTATACGATTCCCTAACTGTTCGTTTTTGCACATTTGTTGTTCTTTATTCAAACTATTATTGTATAAGGCATTTTCGATCCTTGCATCATTGATGGAAATTTTTAGGATGTGACGTGTTTATTTTGGATTTTTACGTGTAAGCTTTCTTTAATTTCGAGGTCTTTAAAGTTTCAGGATTTTTACTTCAAAAAAGGAGAAAAGATTGAAAAAAAAAATTGGTCGGAGTTGGTAAGTATAACTCAAAAATCGTTGTACCTTTTGTAGCAGTGATGGTAACTGTATTGTTGTGATGGTGTGATGAAATTTGCAGTCTGTTTGTCGACAGTTTATTTTTCCCAATTTAAGCTTAGATTTTGAATTCCAAAATTATAGTACGATAATTGGTTTCAGCTCTTGTTAGCCTTCAAAAAGCTTTACATGCCGGTGCTGTTGTTGGTTTGATGTATGCATCTGGAGATATTGGTTCAAATCTGGCAGCTGCTGAAATGAATGCACGAAAGGAGGGTGTGCAGGTAAGAAAGGGGATCAAATTTTGTTCAGTAGCGGATAACATTTGATAGATTCTTAGAATTTTTTAGTTTGTGAAATATCTTTATGTTGGGGACTCTTAGACGCTACCGGTAGTGGAGTGTAAATGACTCTTATTTTGTAGGAACATTGTTTGGCAGTGAAGTGTACAGTCAGTCATCGGAATTATTACAAATGTTTAATTTTTTTCAAGCTGAAACTCATTTGATTATTTGCAGATACGTGAAGAACCATGTGCGGCTAAGGAATTAATCGTCGTTGCTGGAACGCGGAGCGTTAGCGGTTATCCGGCTCCAACGGGCACCATAATTTCTGCATTCAACTCATGCAAAGTACCAGTACCTCTTCTAGCTAGTGGAACATTTATCATGGATTTCTCGGATAGCCACTCGTTCGATATTAATGATGAAGATATAAAGGTATAATTCTTTTCGCCAGTATGTAGCCCAGTATTATATCATCGCCTTATGGTTATACTAACGAAACTACTATTTATTTATTTATTGATGAATTAGCTTATTAGATGTTTTATTAACCGTTATTAATTTTTATCGCATTCAAGTTTGAAGTATCTAATAAACTTTGACTTCGAAAGGATATAAATATTTTATTTAATGTAACATGAAATGCCAAGATTTTTCTCCAATGATCGTTTTAAAGAGGAAGAATGAAGAGGATGAATCAATTAATCTTGTAATGATTACATACACTGGAACAGTGCATTATTTTAAAACAATTGGTGGAGTTGGGTCTGTGATATTCAATCAAGAGTTTGTTATTTCAGACAAAAATGATGGTTGAATTTGGTTTATTGGGTGGTGGTCGAGTTGGTGTATTTAATGATTTGAGTAATGATGATGTGTTGGAATTGTCCAAAAATTACTGTCTGGTTAAATTTGACTGAAACCGATCGAAATAACACTTATTGTGATTTGTAACTAAATAAATATGCTTTTTTAAAAGGGGAATTATTGGCAGCAGAAATGTATTGTAGAGCTTTTTTTATTAACTTTCGACTTTTAATTTCAACGTCTGAAGGAATTCGCATAAATCCAAACTAGCTACTTTTATCTATTGAAACACAGCAGAGATCGGTGATTTCCTTTGCTCTCCATCTTCATTTTAATTATATTATTCATCATTTCATTCTTGTGTCAATACTTTCCACTTCATCCATTAATAATAATTATTTCCCTGCTGGTTGAAGCTATTGGCGACAATATGAATATTCACAGTTGTCTTTCCGATCGAAGTTTGGATTCCTCACAGAATTATACCAGAAATTAAAATATGCAAATCGCGTAAGTCCATTTGTTCTAAAAATTTATGGGAAGTGAATATACTTACTTTGAATTTTGTCGTAAATATTCAATATTTTGCATTTATTTCTCCTTTTCATAAAAAATAAGACAAATGGATATGCACATCACTTCGAAATATTTTTTCACTTAGCGTATCACCTATTTGATGATTATTAGCTATTGCCATACCGCGGATGAAGTGGATAAATTATGTTATTTCATTCCATTTTTTACTTTATCTTATTATCAAAAAAAATGGAGAACCACCATTGTTTTTGTCTTTTTGATTGATTTACTAATTGAAAATGTAGTATAATAATTTTTTTGTTGATTTCCATACGATATAATTAATGAATATTAAGCATAATAGATGGAAGAATAGCGGAAAGAAAGAAGTTGCATGAATAATAATGTAATAAATGCATGTCCATAACACTAAATGTTAATTTTTCGGCAGAACTTTAATATGTACAGCTCTGTCCATGTTTGTTTATATGAAGTATGTTGCTTACCTTATCTCTGTTTCTCTCTTTCTAGTTTTCCTAGATAGTTATATTTATTGATGATTTTTCTTTTTTATTTTCATCTGGTTGGCAATGAATTTTATTCCAAGTACATTTGTACCTTCATTAAAATGCCTTGTTTATTTTCTTATCACTACTGTTACCACTGTCTCCGTTCCTTTTATTGTTTTCATCTTTGAATTTTCACTTCTGTATTAGTGCCTTTTTAACTTTTTAATATCATGAAATAGCCTTTCTTTTTTTCCCTCTTTCATCCCCCTCCCCCCTCCAATTGTGCATATTTTTCTCAATACGCCTCATGTTGTCTTTTTTTTATTTCCGTTTTGTCAACATAATTTACTGAAATTTCTAGTATATTTAGATGAATATTTGCTTGCACTGGAATTTATTTAATTTTATTTTCACATAAATTCTCGATCCATTACAAAATAGTATAGCCAGATAATATCAGAAATGTAGCTGGACATATTTTTGAAAGCTTCAGATAAATGAAGAAAATATTATGAAGTGTTGATTGCTAAATTATCATCACCGTGTAGTGAGCATATCGTAACTGATGATTTGGATGATGAAAATGAGTGAAATCGGAGATGCTACTGTATATTTGACAAGAATTACTATAAACGCTAAATGTGGAAGAGATAAATCTGAGAATAATCTTTTTTTTCCTACATAACCAACATCAGTCATTCAATGAATTGTCTATTTCTTTTAGTTAAAGTTTTTTCAGGTTCATTTTGTTAGTTTTTCCATTTGGGAATATGGTCAAGATATGTTAATGTTTTTTTTTTTTGTAAATTTATTTTTTTCTCTTGCATATCATTGATTTCAATACTTTTCTGTCTCGAAGGAATGATATAATTGAAATGCCTTATTTTCATTTTTGTCATTTTTTGTTCTTTTGTATGTCGACATTCAATTAACAATTGTTATATCAATAGTAATGCAATTATTTTGTTATTTAAAAATAATAGCAACAATTCTTTAAGATATATTTTTATACTGTATGAAAATTTTAATTGAGAAAAAAAAAAGGAAAAAGAAGGCGTTAAGTTTAGTTGGGCAAGGCAGATTTAAAGTTTAAATCAAATGTGGATAAAATTATCATATTTTCATAAACTGGTGTGAACGTGAATTTGATCTTAGCTATTTCATTAAAACGTACACACGTATGGACTGCGAACAATAGAAATAAAAATATATATATGCGAGAATGAAAGTTTCAATGCATGGATCAAATTACGGCTGCGTAAATCTAATGGCGTGAGCCCAGCGTGATGTAGACGTGTAATACGTCTTAAATCCGTGTTTACAGGATGGAATTTGGCAAAAAGATTTTTAATCTAATTCTGTTGAGTTGAAAAGACCAATTTTGGTTGGGTTGTCATCAAACTTAAATTGTATCACTGCTATTCTTTTGTATTCAAAGTTGATATAAATTGTATCAAGTATTAAATGCAGTTGTCAGTTGCCGATAGTTAAATTTTAGTTTTAGTACACCGGCAATTTTATAAATCCTGTGTTATACATTTTTATAGTATTCATATAATATCTTTAAAAAATAGTATTCATATTATAGAGAAGATGACTGTATTTATCATTTATAAATTATTACATTATGAAATTATTAGCTTAAAACTCAATTATTAAATTGTTAGCACTTGAAAATGTTTGAATAATAATTCCTTGAAATGATCAGTTTTTTTATAATCCGGAAAATTAAAACAAAAGAAAGAAAGATGACCAATAAAAATTTTTACCAGTTAGTAGTGAGGAAATCGCGAAAAAATATTTAGTTATAAAGAATTTCGATACAATTCAATATTAGACTAAAAATTCACTAAGTAATAATAGGATTGTTTATGGATAAAACAATTTTATTCGCTAATAAAGTTTGGAGAAGGAGAAAGCCAACGAAGTTATCAAATAAGCCTACCATTTGATTTATAATTTATTAACTTTGAGCTTTTTTTTATATACAATGATTTGGATAAGTCTCAAGCATTAACTTTTTGATCGCGGTCTTATTTGTTTTTATATTAACCAAGTTTTAA